ACTGTAATCTTAATGAAAATAAAATTAATATATAAACCAGGTTGACTAATTCAATTATTATAAAATGCACCTATAGTGTTTAGCACTATATATAATTTGTTTTTAATAAAATTTAGGGTTAGGGTGCATTTTTATAAATTTTTTTTTATATATTATAATATATATATATGTATAAGGTCCCAATTTTAGTTCTTGTAAGGTTTTTGGGGGTCCTGAACATTTTTACTTAGAGTACCCGATCCCGTTTACTTAGTATGTTTTTGAGAGATAGGGACCTATGGTGTTAAACACCATAAGTGCATCTTAGTAAACTTGTAATACATAAATCAGGTTTTTATTATATACGTATCTCTAAACTAAATATATAATTAATTGCTAAAGAATAATGAAAATATTATTATTTGAGCTTATCGTTATAGTTTTGTATAGTTTCATAAAGTCAAATATTAATAAGATATTCTGTGATTAAACATTGCTGTGAACCAACCAATTTGATATAAATTAAAAAAAGATTAATGAGTATAAGAGTGTCACCAAAATAAAAATCTTTATGGATAAGGTTCTGACGATGTAATATTTATGAATCTCGTGACTTTAGAATAATCATTGTATTAACCTTATCGTTATCATGTTTAGATTCTGTTGTGTTTATCACATCTTTTTATGAATAAGACACAAACAGATATCGACATAAACTAAGAAATTCTTAGATTGCATTGCATTACATGATCTTTCATAAGAAATTATGTATGGCAATCAATCTTCAAAAGAGATCGTTTTAATACGAGAGGAAACATACTGTAAGATGGAATAGATTATTTATTTAAATCAATGTATATATCAGATACGTACGTACGTACGTACGTAAAGAACCAGTATTGGTATTAACTCTTTAGCAAGTATGTACAAGCAGTAATACAAGAGTACAGTACAAACATAGCGAGTTTTCGACGATCGGGTGAAATATTGCGTTAAATATTACGTAGCATTACACTTCAGTCACAAAATTGAATTATCAACCATGAATGCAAAAACACAGTCACAAAATTGAATTATCAACCATGAATGCAAAAGGAGTATACCGCTTATTTTGTATACTGATATTTTTAACAAAATCTGTATTAAATGATAATTTTTTAATAATTTTGTTAGCGTTAGCTAATTGAAAATTTTTAAAATTAACCAATCAAAATGAAAATTCGCTAGTACAATAGTACAAGCATTATGTAACACAATTCTTTCCTAAAATTCTTTATTATCAGATGTCCTTCGGCTGTTCATGTGCTTTAAATGCAAAATTGCGTCAGACCGAAAAAAATTGGTAAAAAAAAATTTGAATACGTAGCAAATTTTTGCCTATTTACTTTCAGTTTGTTGTAATTGTTGTTCTTTGAAAGGTTGCCAACGAGGTGGTTCTTTCCTATTTGTGATAATTCGTATAAAATCAAATAATTAATAATCAATAAAATCAATAACTATATAATTTTTTTTTTAAATGACACACCCTTCTTCACTCCTTATACATTTCCAGAAAGCAATGCAAGGTTCTCGAAATTCAATCGGATCTGATGTCAACCCATAAAAAATATCCAAGTAATGTAAATAGCATCTGTGGGGCCCTGGAGATGGCCGATCGCCACGAAATCTTTTATTATTTGTAATCAATCCCATCTTTGTAAGAGGACCTTGATATTCAGGTGGATCATTGGTATTAGGCGGGGGAGTCATTTTTTTTAACCGCACAGGTGTAACACTTCACATATATATACTTGTTTGATATCTATCATTGTTTATATTGGCTATCGGGCATTAACGGCTTTTCTGTACCAGAAATACATCTTATGAGTCATATGTGGAAAAAGGCGGGCCACTCATTAGATTGGCGTTCGGGATGATCAAAGAAGCTTGTATTTTTTTTCCATTATCGATTTTTTTGCTTACAATTTTCAAATGATTATTTCTAATTATTAAGGTCCAATAATATTTTACTAGATATTTTTTTTTGTTTTGATTCTTCAAACGTGGCCTCCACATAGCTAACATAGTTGATGATATCAGAAATGGTTCTAGGTCATTACATATAAAAAAATTTTTTGAAACAAAAAAAAAACCGATACCAGAATACCAGGATTAAGGAACTTTATACATCACCATGACAAGTGATAACCTTCCGAAAATGCTAAATATATTATATTTATTATGCCACCCTGAAACCTAAAATTATTAATAAATAAATAAATACAGAATACTATAAATACTCGAATATCAATTTCTTTTTATCCAATAAATTTTTTTTTTTTTAACAACACTCTTTGTAATATATCACCACCCTACACTCGCTGCCAAGATGTCCTCACCTCAATTTAGAAGCAGGAAAAGTTCGTCTCCTCCTTCACCAGCCTCTGAGGTTTGTTTTACTTTGGAGATTTCAGTTCCTCTTACAAATGTCTGTTTACTAATTTTTGACAAACTTTTCTGTAGTTTTCTCGAAAAAAAACTGACACTAGAAAGAATTCAAATCCTCGTAGGCCAACGAAGCAATCGCAAAAAGTTGATGGCACCGTAAATTCATTAAAACCTTACCAGCCACTGACTGTTAGAGAGAGTACTTTGGTTGTTGAAGCGTCACAACTTATGGCTGCTAAACGTGCAGATTGTGTTCTAGTGGTTGATAGTGATGAGCGTTTGTCGGGTATTTTCACTGCCAAAGATTTGGCTTTTAGAGTAGTTGGTGATGGATTGGATGCAAGAACTACTAGTGTGGCACAAATAATGACGAGGAATCCAATGTGTGTAAGAAATACTGCATCAGCGACCGATGCTCTCAATACAATGGTTCACCGTGGGTTTAGGCATCTGGTAATTATTATATTTGATAATCTATTTCATTTATATTACAAATTTATCTTTCACTATATCATTATATTAATAATTATTTACTTGTACTAGCCTGTATGTAATGAAGAAGGCGATGTTGTAGGTCTCCTTGATATAACAAAATGTTTGTATGAAGCTTTAGACAAAATGGAGCGTGCTTATGGTTCTTCCAAGAAACTATATGACGCTCTTGAAGGCGTAGAGAGGGAATGGTCAAATCAACCTACGCCGATCCATCAATATATGAGTGTGTTACGTGAGACGATGGCTTGTCCTGATTTATCTTCAATATTGGACGGTTCAATGCCGGCTGAAGTCTCTGTTAGAACAAGTGTGAGAGATGCCGCTCGCCTAATGAGAGAATATCACACAACTGCTGTTTTAGTTATGGAACACAATCTAATCGCTGGTATTTTTACAAGTAAAGATATTGTATTAAGAGTCATTGCTGCTGGTTTGGATCCTTCAACGTGTAGTGTTGTCAAAGTAATGACTCCACATCCTGATACTGCCCCACCTCATACTAGCATTCTTGATGCTCTAAAAAAAATGTATGGTAAGTAATTAATTACATACTTGTTTATGTGATTATATATATCTCTCGCTATAAAAGCATAATTACAATTTAAATTTATACCGTAATTTTGTCATCCCGCGAGAGAATAATAAATTACATGATTCTAACAATATATATAAAGTGAATTAATCAATAATTCCTTTAATTATGTTGAATCAACACTCAATTCTTTATTTATTGTAACATAATTAATCTAATTACATTTTTTGTTCTTTTTAACATAGATGGTCATTATCTAAATCTACCAGTGGTTGATGGTGGCAGCATTTTAGGGATGGTCGATGTATTAAAATTGACATATGCTACCATGGAACAGGTACTTTATTATACAAAAATATTTTTCTATAATTTTTATTATATAATATTTTTTAATTTAATTTTTTTTTCAATAGATGTATTCTAAACAAACCCAGGAAAATGGTCATGATACTAGCGGGCCAATGTGGAATAAATTTTGGAATTCACTTAACGATGATAATGAATCAGTTGCATCTGATTCAATAGCTCCATCACAGAGTGCTTCAAATATTCCACCACCATCACCGAATTCACGCATGCGTAATTCCGGGCATGTTTCTCCTATTCCTGAAATCCATCCTGGTGAATCTGCCTCGGCTGTCGATGACGGGTCTTTGGCTTCATTCCCTAGAGGACATGATGAAAATCATTTCACTTTTAAGTTTAAAGCACCAAATGGAAAATCTCACCGTTTCACTGTTGATTATACTAGTTTTGAAAATATTCGTTCAATGGTTGCTTCTAAGCTTCCTCCTAGTATTAAGGATTTTTCTATTTCTTATGTGGACGACGATGATGATCATGTTGCAATGTCAAATGATGATGATGTTGCCGATGCTGTGCAAATTGCTCAAAGACAAGGTCTAACACGTGTAATTTTGCACATACAAGAACTTCAAGTACCGTCAAAACCACGGAATGTTGAAATTGATGATGATGATGATGACGATGATGAAGATATACGGGGGCGGGGAAGACCAAAAAGACGTAGCAAGAAACAGGAATATAGCTTTCCTTTTACACAAGATTTGTTATTGCCTGGCGCCCTTCTTACGCTCGCTATTGCAATTATAGGTGTATTCGTAATATCAAGATCAGCAAAATAATTAAAGTAATTAACAAATTCCTTTTTATTCGATGCACATTATTTCTGGACATTGGATTATCAAAAGATATGATTCCGTGGGATTATGTTTGCATTACTATTTTATTATTACCATTTCTTTCGAAAAAATGTCACTAATCTACTGTCTCTATAATTCTATCCATTCCCATCATACATATATATCAGTCATTAATGATGACATTTCCACTATAGAATGCACTTTCATTTAGTTTAAATAACAACTTCATATATTCCGTATGCTTATGTAAACAATCATTATCTTCATGTCTCAATATAAAGACGAAAAAAAAAATCTTTATCAATAAGATAAAAAGAACATTCATATTCTGATTTTTCACATAATCCATTTATCAATTCCTATTCTAACTTTATTGGAATAGGTAAAAAAAAAAAAAAAAAAAAATGTATTTTACAAAAAATCCCCACTCTAATTTTTCTGTAATAATAATAATTTTATTGTAGGGAATGGTTTAGTAATATGATTTAGTTACAGTAATTTTATCTAAATAAATAAAAAAAACATACTGTATAATGTTGGCAATTTTTAATTAACGGTAAAAAGTAAATGTGGGACAATGTTTGTTATTCATTATGAGCGTCGGCAAAAATATATTAAAATCAGTAATTTAGTAACTACTGTTCTTAATATTATTTGAATTGTCTCATTAAGATGATTCAAATGATATTAGATTATAGGTATTGAATTGACTGATTTTAAAATATTTTTATTAAAAGTATATATACAAAAAATGCAACTTGTAGGTTTTCCTTTGGCGGCTCTCATATATAGATTGATGATTTTAAATAATACTAAAGGCATGCTGCTTGTAATCACGGAAGTTTAAATGTGATTTTCCAATGTAACTAAATTATCAAAGGCGATCGTTGTTGATTGTAGAAAGTGACAGTAAACTTTTTCATCAAATGCTTTCCAAAATTAAACCGACTTCTATAATTCATTCTTCTTTACGGTAAAGTAGTGAACTCGGGGAATTATGGAAAATGCCAATAAGAATTGGGTAAATATAACACCTGAGTGACTATAGCATCTGTACTTGTTGCTTACAACAGTAGTAATGTTCTGCGTAAGATTCGTATAACTGATGCTATTAACGAATCATTTTTTGAGATTACCTTATGACACTAGACCAATAATACTAAATATGCTGGTTTTTTTTTTTGTACCATCTTTTGTTTTCCAGTAGAAGTCACAAGAATTAATAATAAATCCGAATTAATTTTTTATTCTATTAAAAAAAAAAAGAAAAAAAACTTGCATATTACCAGACGTGTGAAATTATCAATGATTACTTTTGTAGTCATAAAAGGTTTGAATAGAATTGAAGGCACAACTTTATAATTTCTTTATCAAATCAAGATCGCGTGTTATCTGTTATAACGTATATGAGGATCGACAGTTCGGATATCAAATTGAAAATTTTATTTGGGTATCAGGATATAAATTTTTATTAGAATGGGTCATTTTAAGCATTTTAATTTTCTAGACTTTTAAATTTGATATGCTTCGCACGCCCTATGGCGTTCTAAGTAAGTATATCAAGGGTTGTAAAAAAAAAAAAAAAAACTTTGATATACTGAAAACTGTTTAACTCGTATGAAGAAAT